GCACTGTTGCTGCCAGGGTGAACTGGTACCGGAGAAAAACCAAAAAAAAAAAAAAAAAAAAAAAAGGCTTAGAGGTCTCAGATTAATAATCCAAATTCCTAACTCAACAGACTACAAAACCAAGCCAAAGCAAGCAGATACAAGTTATAAGCACAAGAGCAGAAATCAGTACAAGTGAAAACAGGAACGTGATACAGAAAGGCAATGAAACAAAAAGCTTGTTCTTTGAAAAAGTGTAAGTTTGATAAGCCTCTAGCCTTATCCAGACACACAAAAGGAGAGGTAACAATACACTCATACGAGGAGTGAAATGAGACAGCACTCCCAGTTCTGCAGCCACTAAGAAGCACGATGGGATGCTAGGAACAAATTATGCTCACGTACTTGACAAGTGGAAGAAAACATAGTATCTCAAAACCCTACTAGCTATCAGAACACAGTCAAATCACATGTCCATGGAGTAGAAGCCTAATATGGTTAATATGACTACACAAGCCAAGGCAATCTGCAGATTCAATGCAATCTAACAAAATAACAACGTTATTTCTTGTGGAAATTGACATAGCCATCCTGAAATTCACATAGAACCTCAGAAACCCCAAGTAGTCAAACTCAGTCTTGAAAAAGAATGCAGGTGAGGGGCTGGGGATTTAGCTCAGCGGCAAAGTGCCTGCCTGGCAAGCTCAAGGTCGTGAGTTCGGTTCCCAGTACCAGAGAAAAATCAAGAAAAGACAAAAAAAAAAAAAAGAATGCAGGTGGAGGACTCACTTCTCATCTCAACTCACTACGAAGATATCATTATCAAAACAGCACAGTACTGGCATAAGAACAGACACATGCACCAACAGAATAAAATCAAGAGGCCCCGAAGAAACCCTTGCCTATATGGTTAAAAGATTCTCAACAAGGGTGCCAAGACCATTCAATATAGAAAGGACCGTCTCCAACAAATGATGCTGGGAAAAGGACATCACATACAAAACATAAAATTAGACCATTACGTTACACCATACACAAAAATAATTCCATGTGAATCAAAGATCTAAATATAAGTGGTAAAACTAAAAAATTCTTTTTTTTGGTCTTTTTGAGACAGGCCTTGAGCTCACTTTGTGGCCTAGGCTGGTCTTGAACTCACAATGATCCTCCTGCCTCAGCCTCCCAAGTGCTGGGATTATAGGTGTGAGCCACCAAGCCTGGATAAAACTAAAAAATTCTTACAAGAAACCACTGGGGGGAATCTTCATGCACGGAAGGTATCTGGTATCTGCATATGCCTACAGTGCTGGCGACCAGGTGCCAACAGGAGCACAACCAGGACCCAGCCCCAGGCCAAGATCTCCTTCCATTAGTGAAGCTGTTCAAATGGTCAGACAGCCTCGGGGAGAAAGGCTCAAGCAATTACAGGAAGGGGTCCTAATAGTCCCTGCATTCCAAGGTCCTTACCCAAATAGTGCAAAATACGCACCATTCCAGGTCCCTTCTGCCCAAAAAAGGCATCTGATGAATGTCATGAAGCCCAACCAATTACACCGTCCCTGTGTTTACAAGGTGAAAGAGTTCCACAGGAGAAGTCTAAATGTATTCTTCTCTTAGAAGAATCCCAGGAGGGACTTTTCATTAAAACCCCAGCAGCCACAACGACTGGCTAGCAATAGTCTACTGAGTTAAACCTGGTGTTCTGGGGGAAGCTCTAGCTGGCTTTGTACACATCGGGGTTAACGCCAGGGATCGCTCATGTGCCCGCTGCCCAGGGCCATCATGTTACCTGCAGGATTTGCTGGAGCTCTGGTTGTGCCTGGCTTCCTGGTGGAAGTGAGGTGGTCCCATCTCTCTAGTGAGGGAGGAGGACAGCAGGGGAGCACGCTTAGTCATGACAGCAGCTCCTGTTTGGCCAGAAGCTGAGCCATGGGCAGAATATCCCTGTCTAGTCCTTGGGGCCCCTCTAGGCTGGCCCTGCAGGGAACCCACTAAGGAGAATGACAAAAAGATGGACGTGTAAGTGACAGGGTGGGCCTGCACAGGTCCCAGGACTTAGCGGAGCAAGGGCTCAAGCCCAGATGTGCTGGTGATGATCATGTGGGCAAGGAGCCCTCAGAGCTCCTGACCTTGGCTTCCTGCAGTCAACCTGGCACTTCAGCCCCAGGCGGCGCTGCTGAGGCCAGACGGAGTCGTTCAGAAACGGAAAGCGTCTGGACACAGTATTTGACGTCACCATTATAAACATGACCTGAGGCACAACAGAATTTTTTCTTTACAATTGCGGGCATTGATCCCAGGTATTACATGATGCGTACGAGTTTAACTATCGTTTCTTTGACAGAGATCGAGACTATGTTGTATGTCTTCCTACTGTGCAAAGAGGTAGAAGAAGAAAAGATTTCAAGAATGGCAAAGGCACAGAAAAAGACTTAGCTTAGTGTGCAAGCAGCACTCAGTAATTACTGACTGCTCAGAGAGCAAGCAGCCGAAGTTGAAATCATCTATAAGTAAAAGGGTGGACAGCGTACACGGTGCAAACGACAGCTATGGAGCGCTGCAGTAGCTGTACTAATATCACAAGAAACGGCGTTCACATCAAAACTGTGACTAAAGCCAGAGCGACGTAACGACTGAAAGAGATCAGCCCAACAGAGAGCCCAGAGGATCCATTGCCTTCACTGCCCTCTTTCTCTGCGTGGAAGGAACATCGGAAGATCAAAAAGGAAGTAGAAGCCTAGAACAGCTCCATAAACCAGCCAGACCTAACAGTCACGTGTGCAGTATGCCAAGCAGTGCCAGAACACACCTTCTAGGCCACACGCAGCTGACAAACAAGTCACAATGTATGTAACATATTTCAACCACACGGACTACAGTCTTCAACCGCAAAGGAGTGAAAACAAATCGGCAACAGAAGCGCATTTAGAAACTTCACAATTATATGGAAGTTAAAGAACACACTTCCGAATAACAAATAGTCAAAGAAGAAATCACAAGGGAAATTATAAATACTTTGAAATGGACAAAAATAGAAATAAAATATACTAACACTTATGTGTTGCAGTGCGAGCAGTCCTCAGAGGAAAGTTCGTGTTTGTGTCAACATTAAAAAAAGCGATGGAGGCTTGGCAACATAGCTCAGTCGTAGGTACAGCAACTGCCAGGCATGCTCAGGGTTCAGTCTCAAGTGCTAAGCCATAAACTTCACTAAGCCATAAAACTGGTGTGTGCCTGTAATTCCAGCCACTTGGGAGGCTGAGACAGGAGGGCTACAAGTTCAAGACCAGCCTGGGAAATTCACTGAAGGCTTGTCTCAAATTTGTATTTATTTTTACTTTCCTTTTTACCCAAATAAAAAATTTCCTTATCCTTGTCTTTATGAGAAGCCATTACTAGCTCTGCTTAACAGAAATCCTTGATCCTATTACTTGGCCCACGCACAGTTAGTTGTTTCTTTGGTGCTGTCTCCTCCAGACTTAGAAGCTATACGCCTCGTGTCTCTGGAGGGCCTTTAGACATATCCTCTGTGGAGTGTCTCTGACTGCCCATCAACAACTACGGCCCCCTTTAGCCTGAAGAAGCCAGAGCGGTCATCGCCCACTGTTCCCTCACGGCAGTTCGGAGTCCTTCTGCAGAGGAGGGAATGCATGGACATCGAAGTTACAGAAAATATAGGCAGTCAGACAGAGCCAGGCCCTCGAAGCAGCCAGCACAGAAGACAAGATACCTTGCAACTGTGGGGGAGACAGGCAGCTCTGCTGTGGGCCAGACCTCAAGACAAAGGACGACAAGCATTGTTAATTCCCTACCACTGTGTTTGTAACTCCGTACTGTCTGTACTGTTCCTTTGCTATTTTGTAAAATGCTGTCTGTCTGTTAATATTTTCCTTTTATTTAAAAAAAAAAAAGACAAAGGACAAAACATATGCACCCGCATACATCCCTAAGGATAAATATCAGGGACTGATATTCTAAATAGGTCTCCATCACCTTGAGAAAGCCAGGAAGAGCCACTAACCCAACCCCCTACAGGAATCGCCCGTTCTGCACTCATGCCCGCTTGCTTTGTGACTTGCTTCCCCATTTGATCCAGATTTAACTAATTTTACCTGAGCAATTACACTCATAATCTTACTGGCTGACCATAGTTTTGTCCCACCTCATGCCTACTTTGAGATGTCCCATTTTTTTCCACCTTGGACCCACCTCACCTCATAGATTTGCTCTGTAAAAACCCCTAGAAAAGGCAGGGTCCTTGGCAACCCACTCAGGACCCCCTCTCTCTTTTGGACAGAAGCTTTCTTTCCCTCAATAAATAAATTCTGCCCTTTAAAAATAAATTAAATAAATAAATAAAATAAAATAAAAAGTTTTTAAAAGGCAGGCAATGTAGCTCAGTGGCAGAGTACTTGCCTAGCATGCACAAGGCCCTGGCTTCCATTCCGAACGCTAAAAAATAAGTAAATAAAAATTTAAAAGGAAAAGAGAGATCTCAAATCAATAACCTAAACTTTAATATTAAGGAACGAAAGTCAGGCCTGTGGGTCAGTGCTTCTCGTCCCAGCTACTTAGGAGGCTAATGCAGGAAGATCACTTGAACCATGGAGTTCAAGATCAGCTTAGGAAAGCCAAGGAGGAAAAGAAGAAAAGAAAACTATCAAAAGAAGACTAAGCTAAGTGTTAAGCAGAGAAAGCAAATACTAAAGACTACCCCAGAAGTATATGAAACAGAATTTAAAAATGACAAGTAACATCAACAAAACTAAAAAAAGTTACTTATTTTAAAGGATCAGTAACTTGGATGAACTGTTAGCAGACTAAGACAAAAACAGAGAAGAACTAGATTATTAAATTTAAGAATGAAAGAGTAGACAGTACTACCAATCTTACATAAATGAAAAGAATTATAAAGGAATACCTTAACAATTATCATCCAGTCAAGTAAATAAGGCAGATGAAATAGATAACTTTTTTTGCGTTTTTGAAATAGGGTCTCGCTATGCAGTCCAGTCTGGCCTTGAATCCACTATGCAGCCCAGACTGATCTCAAACTCACAGCAATCCTCCTGCCTCAGCCTCCTGGGTACCAGTAGTAAGGCATGTGCCACCATACTTGGTGTCAAATGGATAACTTCTTATTAACAGACAAACTAATAAAGCTGACTCAGGAAGAAATAGAAAACCTGACTTGGCCTCCCAAGTGCTGGGATGACAGACAGCAGCACCAAGCCTGGCCTCAGTAAATGTTTTTGAAAGAGGGAGACTCAAAACAGAGACCCAGCTGGAGTGGGGTGCACACAGTCTCGCAGTTCCGCTTTAGTAAGAGGCATATATGGAGCGGTAACACAGAAAGCCCACCCCTTGGAGCGATCCTACCTGCATGTGTGCTTAGGGCGCTGCCGGCAGCTTTATGCATATGGCCATATGAAGACCACACCAGTTGAAGGATTTTTACGGCAAGAGGACCGGATGTGATATGAACATTATTATATATGACACGATGAAGACCACCATTTTTTATTAACTACAATCCGTATAAAATCGTATTATATTGGGCAGTTTTGCTAAATGTGTAGATGTTCTCTAGCTTTACTATGGTGAACATTTTAACATGGAGGCTTCTAACCCAGCGCATCAGCGCAGAGGCGATAGCTGCCTATAATTTGCATCTGATGCTGCACCTGGCAAGTGAGGAGGTGCAGCTCACCTGTCTAAACGAGGCTCTTTGTGTGCGTCCGTCCCTGTTACAGTGACATAGGTGGCAGGCAGGAGGAATAGCATTACTGAGGCTTCTCTGGCAACTCTCAGCAAAGCCACCGCCAATATGTAAATAATTAGCTTCAACTCTGGGTGACTCAAACAGCTCTCTTGCGTAAAAATATCTGTATTTTCCCTAGTTGACATTTGCAGAATCTAACAGTGGCACTCACAGTGGGGAGCTGGTGCAGGCACACGACACAGCCCCCTCCATCTCTTGGTCCCCTACCCTTTTGCAAAACATCTATCTCCCGGCAGGCGTGGTGGCGCACGCCTGTAATCTCAGGCACTCAGGAGGATGAGGCAGGAGGAGGGCTGCAAGGTCAAGGCCAGCCTATGGCTCCTGGTTTCAGAAGGCTAGTCCGTGGCTGGGCAGCTCCAGGGCAGAAGCATCACCGTGGAAGCAAGGCTGCTGGGAGGGGCGTGGCGCTGCCACCAAACTGAGAGCCGCCGGCCCCAGAGCTGCTCCCTTAAGTCATATTGTGTAGTTTCCTCACAGCAGGTGGAACCATCTATGACAGACAGACTGACTCCAGGCTTCGATACGCCGAAGGAAGCAAGCAAGCTGCACAATCACACAAGTGACTCCATGACCCCCGCCCCCCCGGAAGCTCAGGACGCGGATGCGCACAAGAGCACCGGGCCCTCGTGGACAGAGCACTGTGCAGTCACACTTGCTTGAACCACTCTGACTCCTGAGGACGCTTCACCCTAGCAAGCGAAATCCAGGCTGCCCACTGTTTCCCTTGCGGCTCGTCCCGAGCAAGTGGTCCGTATTTATTAATTACCACTGTTGGCTTTAACCCTTTGATTTATTACTCACGCTTTACTGAGGAAGCCTCTGGCATTGCATCCTCCAGTCTCAAGTCATCGCTCGAGTCCCCAGATCCTAAAAATGAAGAGAATTTTAAAATTTAACTATCTGCATGCAACAAAAGAATGCTCTCCTCATGTGGGCATTTCTCCTTAGGAAAGTCAGGGGAAGAGATTCCCCACCAAGGGAAACTGAAAGAGTGAGAATGGCTGTGCTCGTATCAGGAAAAATATGCTGAAGTCAACTACTGTAAAAGGAGACAAAGAAAGTCAGGACATAATGATAAACATGAACTCATCATGAAGTTACAACTGTAATCGATATAAGCCAACATCACATCACTGATGTACACAAGACAAACTTCACAGATATAAAAGGAGACTGTTGAGCCGGGCATGGTGGCACATGCCTGTCATCCCAGCACTCAGGAGGCTGAGGCAGGAGGGTCTTTGCGAGTTTAAGGCCAGCCTGGGCTATAAACTGAGTTCAAAACCAGCCTGAACTGCATAGTGAGACCTTGTCTCAAAAAGACAAAAAAGAAAAAAGAAAGGAGACTGTCATGCAGTAAGAGGAGAACTCAGTAGCCACTTTCAACACTAGACAGACGATCTGAACAGAAAATCAATAAGGAAATGCTGTGCTTCCAACCAGTCTAACAGCTTTGTGCAGAACAGTCTGTCCAACACCCACAGAAACAAGGCCCAACCAACTGAAGAAAATTCAAACCCTATCGAGGAGCTTTTCCACATGGAAGAGTCCTGGAGAGCTCACAAATATGTAGGAATAAACATGCTCTTGAGCAACCAGGAAGTCAAAGAAGGGGAAATTAAAAGGGAAAATGAAAAAGAGAAACCTAAGAAGTTTTTGAAATAAACAAAAAATGTAAACACAACACACCAAAATTAATGGGATGCAACAAAAGCAGTCCACACAGGGAAGGTGACAGCAATAATTGCCTACGTGAAAACAGGACAGAGATCTCAAGCAAAGCTAATGGTAACTTCAAAGAACAAGAAAACTTAGCAGAAAGAAGGAAATAAAGATCAGAACAGAAATAAACAGAAGACAGCCAGGTGTGGTGGCACACATCTGTAGTCCCAGCACTCGGGAGGCTGAGGCAGAAGATCATCATTATTTCAAGTGAGACCCTGTCTCAACACACACACACACACACACACACACACACACGAAATAAATAAGACTAGAAAACCAATCAAAAAGATCAGTGAACTAAAAGCTATTTTCTGTTTTGTTTTGTTTTTTTAATAGTACTGCAGATTGAACCCAGGGGTATTTTACCACTGAGCTACATTCCTGGCTCTTTTCATTTTGAAACAGGGTCTTATTAACTTGTCCAGGCTGGCCTCCAACTTGTGATCTTCCTGCCTGCCTCAGCCTCCCAACTAGTTGGGATTCTAGGTATACACCACTGTGCACAACAAAAGTTGATCTTAAGATACACAGTAAGCAAATCTTTATCTAGACTTACAAAAACAGAAAGAAAACCCAACTAAATAAAGTCAGAAATAAAAGGAGATATTACAACTGATCTCACAGAATTTCAAAGAACTGTAAGAGACTATGCAAAGCAAATGGATGAATTCTAGAAACATGCATGCTGGGTGTGGTGGCGCAAACCTGCAATCCCAGCACTCTCGAGGCTGAGGCAGGAGGGTTGTTACGAGTTCGAGGCCAGCCTGTGCTACAAAGTGAGCTCAAGGCCAGCCTGAACTACATAGCAAGTCCCTATTTCAAAAAGACAAAAAAAAAAAAAAAAAAAAAAAAAAAAAAAAAAAAAAAAAAAAAAAAAAAAAAAAAAAAAAAAAAAAAAAAAAAAAGATACAATAGAAACATGCAACCTACAAAGACTGAATCAGGAAGAAATAAAAAATCTGAACAGAGCAAAAATGAGTAACAAGATAAAATCAGTAATATCAAGTGTCCTATTAAGGAAAAGCCAGGGACCACACAGTTCCACTGATGAGTTGTACCAAATGTTCAAAGAGCCAACCCTCCGCAAACTCCAAAAAAATGAAAATGAGGGCATACTTCCAAACTCTACTTACAAGGCCAGCATTATCTTCATAACAAAGGCAGATAAGGAAACTACAGGCCAATATCCCCAAAGAATACAACTGCCAAAATCTCAACAAAGAACCAGCAAACAGAATCCAGCAGCTAAAAAGAGCATTCAGCAGTATTGCGTGGGATCTATCCCAGGGATACAAGTATCATACAGAAATCAATAAATGTAACATATGTTCACAAAATCAAGCCCAAAATCCACATGGTCGTCTCAACAGACATTAGAAAATAATCCTAGCTTTTTCATTTGGGTTTTTGTTGTTTGTTTTGCCTTTTTTCAGACAGGGCCTCACTATGCAGTTCAGGCTGGCCTTGAGTTCACTTTGTAGCCCAGGCTGGTCTCGAACTTCCAACAATCCTCCTGCCTCAGCCTCCTGAGTACTGGGATTACAGGTCTGCGTCACCACGCCCAGCCAAAAAATACTAGCTTTGAAAGGCTCTGGACAGCAAAGGATACAACAGAATAAAGAGACAGCCCACAAACTGGGGGAAAGTATTTGTAAGTCACACCCAAAATATGTAAGGATCTCAGCTCGATGGCAAGAAAACAAATGACTCAATTACAAAATGAGCAAAGGGCTTGAATTCACATGTCAAAAGAAACAATACAGTCAAGAGATAAATGAAAATATCCTCCACATCTCTAATCTTCAGGGAAACGCAAATTAAAAACCACAGTGAGCTCTCTCATCTTGCACATGGTGAATGACTAGTATAAAAGGGTGAATGATAACAACTGCTGGTAAAGATGCAGTGAAAAGGGAACCCTTTCATACAGTCAGTGGAAATATACATCAGACAAGCACAATGGACATTAGTGTGAAGGATACTAAAAGAACTGAAAATAGAATTACCATTGCATTCAGCAACATCACTTCTGGATATATAGACAAAGGAACTGCAATCATTAAGTCAAAAAAACCCTCCCCCCATGTTCAATAGCCAAGCTATGGAAGGTTAGCAACCCAGGTGTCCATCAATGGACAAATGAATAAAGAAAAACCAGGATACTGCACTGGGGATGTAGCTCAGTGATACAGCACTTGTCTAGCATGTATGAGGCTCTGGGTCTGGAAAGGAATGAAGGGAAGGAAAAATAAACTGGGCTTGATGGAGCAGGCCTGTAATCACAGCATTCTAGGAGGCTGAGGCAGGGAGATCTTAAATCAAATACAGCCTGGGCAACTTAATGAGACCCTGTCTCAAAATAAGAAAATTTTAAAAGTTCTGGAGGTGTAGCTCAGTGCAAAGGCCCTGGGCTCAGTCCCCAGCACCTTAAAAATATGTGGAAATATATATATATATATAATGGCATATTATGCAGCCCTTAAAAAGAAGGAAATCCTGTCATTTGCAACAACACAGATGGAGCTGGAAGACCTGTGGTAAGTGAAATAAACCAGGCACAGAAAGGCAAACACTGTACGTGCTGATCTTGCACAGACAGAATGTAGAACAGCAGGGCTCACAGAAACAGTACGAAGGTAGGTACGTGAGGCTGGGGGCGCTGGCAGAGGGAAGACGCTGACTGAAGGGTACACAGTTTCCATTAGACTGGGGACAAGTTTTACTGATCTATCACACTACATGGTAACCATAGTGAATAACGATGGATTGTATATTTTGCAACTGCTAAAAGAACTTCCCTTTAGTGACCCTAGCACAAGAGAAGTTTGGCTTGCTACCTTCAGCAAATCCTTCTCCAGTGTATACATAGCTCAGAATGTCCTGCTGTACCCCACAGATATGTACAATTATTCTTTATCAATGGAAATCGGCCAGCACAGCAGTGGAGGACCTGCGTGGCATGCACGAGCCCCACACAAATAAAGAACAATTTGGAAATGATTTTTAAATGTAACTATCATTACCGAGAACACCATCTGGGCATAAAATATAGTACTGGATTATGATCCAGTGTGCAGAATGAACAGCCACGTGTCTATGACGACAGAGAAAGGAAAGACCAACAAGCCTCCCATGCAGGGGAATGCCAACTACCTTCCGGAGATCACTGTCCCTCATGGAGGTGGGGCTTGACCTCTCACCCCGGAAGTGTTACTGCAGCGACTCAGCATGGGGTGAGGGAGGACAGGACTGCTACCTAACAAGCACTGCCTCAGCCAGGTGACCAAGGTCACCATACATAGATAGCTTAATAGGGTGTGAGTAGCATGACACCTTATTCCATGATACAATCATGAGAGAAACACCAGACGGATCCCAACGGGAGGACACCATACAGAACGCCTCGAGGCCCTCTCCTCCAAACTGTCAAAGCTGTCAACACCAAAGAAAGTCTGTGAAACACGCACAGCCAAAGGAACCTAAGGACACTGCGACTGGAGGCCAGATGGATGGGACTGGGTCCGGGAACGGAAAGGTACTTTGGCTGAAAACTAAGGAAATGTGAATAAAGTGTAGACTTTGGTTTCCACCGGGGTAACAACATTGGTTCTTCAGTGGTGACAAATGTGCCACGTGCATATAAAATGTTAATGATAGGGAGACTGGGTGTGGGCCGTATGAATTCTCTGTGGCTTCACAACAACATTAAGAGTAACCATTAAAATATGTTGATACATAACCTCAAAACCATTCAACAGAGCCAGGTGTGCTGGCGCACGCCTGTAATCTCAGCACTCAGGAGGCTGAGGCAGGAGGATCGTCGCGAGTTCAAGACCAGCCTGGGCTACAAAGTGAGCTCAAGGCCAGCCTGAACTGCAGAGTGAGACCCTGTCTCAAAAAAAAAAAAAAATCAAGAAAAGGAAAGGGAAAGGAAAACACCAACAACCAAACTCAATCAATCCAACAACAGCCTCCAACGAGAAAAAAAAAAGCAAGAAACGCGTTAAATAGAAAACATAAACCTAACATGGGAATATGCCCACTCTGCGGGAAATATCCATACGATGGCACAACCCTCAAGGGAACTGCTATGGCACTGAGTAACCAGCACACAGGGTTCACCGGAGCCTAGGCAAACCAGA